TACTGCATCTGTGAGATGAAGATGAATGAAGCCATGAAGGCATCAAGCAAGGGTTGTTCAAAGGCAGGCAGGCAGGCAGTATTCAAGATATAGCAAACCAAAGCGAAGCTAGTAGTAGAGATGGATGTAAGCCCTTGGTTCAAAGCAATACATACAGTGATGTGAAGACGAGAGAAAACAGAGTAGCAATAGCAGGAATGATCACGAGTACTGTAGATGGTAAAGGAGAGGAGGAAGGCAAAGCCCAGCGATGGCAGACACCCCGGCCGGCCGTCACGGTCCATCGCCGGCGACGGAGGCTTCTTCCTTGTTGTGCCTCCGCGTGAGAATTTTGTTCTTGTTGACTAGTGACTACCCCTCCTGCAGTCCTGCACTCAACTAGGAGAAGTGGAGACCGACATGTGGACCTGAACCATCTGCCTGAGAATGGAATCCCAGTCAGTTCTCACTCATCTTCACTATCACACCGATGAAGATGAAATGGAGCATTAGGATTTGGAGCAAGTACGCTGCAGCCAGCTTGCGTTGCTTGACTTGCTCAGTGCCTATCCACCCCCAATCCCACTCTGATCAACACTTTGCCTTGGCTCGTGTTTACTTTTTGCCATGGCAGGCCTTTCTTCGCGTCATTGCCTGGCAATTGGGCTTCTGTATACTACAGTCATATAATGACGTTAAGTAAGACTTGTTCGACAAATTAGGGCTCCCCATCTTTCTTTGTAGTCCGTCAAGTCATCATCACATCCAGTATTGACTTGACTTGCATCCGGGTATTAGTACAACAAATTAAGACATTGCTAGACGCAACAGGCATTGACTTGACTACCTTTTTCATTGACAAACCAATGTACTGCGGTGCTCAAACATTAATGCACGGCACATAGATGCAAACTGTTGTACATAACCAGTCCTTTCAGAACAAAAACTGCTTTATCTTTTCGGGGGTTAACAAGTTCATGCTCACACACACGAAACCCTACTTTATTAGCAACCAACCCGTTCAAAGACGATTCCTCCCAGAACGTTCCCACAACTTGCTAAGCATCCTCTCGGTACATTCATCAACTTCTTCGCATGCTGCATAGACATAAATGTACACAAGATAACTGAGACTGATGCAGTCATGCTCATCAAGTATCCTGCAACAGGACAACAAATCCTTGTAGTAAGGTGGTGTGTGTGTGGAGGAAGAGAACAGGTCCAGCTACTGCATGTTGCTGTTTTCAATCAAATTCCTTGAGGATTGTGATATACAGATTACTGCAAAAAGAAGAAGAAAAAAATCCAATGGGTGGAATATGCTGCAGGTGCAAGTTGTTTACTTAATTTGTTCAGATCCAGACATAAAAACAAAATGCAGACCATATGTGTCTTAATAAAAACAGGGGCGGACTGGGGATTTGCTTATACTTGAGCAAACTTTGCTGAACAATCATCATCATATACACTAAAAAATACTCCTAAGAACCTATACGCGTTTCCAATCAACACTTAAATTCAGCTGGTTTGGCATTAACTAGAAGAAGAATAATGGAACGGGCAATCAAATCAAGATGCTCCCACTGTTTCATCCTATGAAGTAAAACCCAGACAATCAAATAGTTGATCTAGAAACAGAACTTGGTATCTACATATCCTTTCACCACCTTGCCAGAAAGCCTTTGGAATGCTAAATCCTTCATATCCCAGTTACCCAAAGAAACAGAACTAAGCACATCCAATCAAAAAGTTCTAGAAACAGGAAACAGATTTCAAACCCAAGAGAAGGCAGTTCTTTTTTTTTTTTTTTTTCAATCGATTTAGTATGGAATAGTGGAAATATATGTGACATACAAGTATAAGATAAGCTTGCTGTATCTTATTTTTCTCTCTTTACCTCTCCCATGTCTGAGTATTTTAAGATTCCCCATTCTTCATCTTACTCTACATCATGCCAATGCAGGTGCCTTCCGGTCTCTCAAATCAGATGACAGAGCTAGCAACACTTAAAAGTTATTTCCTGTCCCAGAAACCAGATATAGCGCAGCAAAGGAACTAAGAAAACCAGTTTGGTTCCATGTTCCTTATACTCTCACTTTCCCCACCATGTAACTTTACCATGACTACCTAAGAGATGCTGCAGTATACATGCACCTTCTGATTGAGAAATCCCAACCACCTGATTTAATTTATCCTACAAGAATAATTTGGTTGTTTCACATGCAACTGTTGGTTACCATGCTTCCATCTAGTTCTTGTTCATCCATAAGATTCCCCTCTTGGGACGCAATCAGGTCAGTCAACAATTCCAAAAATCTCCAACCTAACATTGCTCGGACCAGTCAATACTAGCTGCATGCAGGCGTAGTCGATTCAATCATGCCAAGCAAGAGCAGGCAAGAACACAAAATTAAGCCTTTGGTCCAAGTCAAGCTAGCAGGTAAAAAAAATACAGATTTGTAAGATGCAAGTCACCTTACATGGAGCATATCCTTTATTTTCGATATTTGGGATGGAAGTTTGATTATTATTTTTCGCGTTATAAGCTTGGTCCCTCGCTACATGTCTCATCTCCAATCTTTCAGTATTTTCAGACTCCCTTATCCTTCATCTTACTCTACAGCATGTCAATGCAGGTTCCTTCCAGTCTCTTGAATCAGAGGACCTTGGTAGCAACACTAATAGTATTGCCTTTGTTCGAGAAAGCAGAACAACACAGCAAATGAGCTAACAATTCCTATCGATTTGGTTTCTTATGCTTCATACACTCCACTTTCCCCACCATGTGATTTTACCATGACTGTCCATATTTGCTATAGTACAGGCTCCTGAATATCATTGTGAAAATCCCAATCTACAAACTGCATTGCTACATTAAAAGTTCATTCATATGGTTACAATTGAGAAATTCCAATCTAAATCTTAGAAGAAATAGCTTGGCAATTTCACAAGCAAGGGTTGACTACCATGCTTCCATTTAGTTGTTCTTGTTCATCTAAAAGAGACTTCCCTCATAGGATCCAATCAGGTCAGTCAACAATGCCAAAATACCCTACCAAACTCTTTCGACCAGTCAGCACTGATTGTATGAAAATCTAGTCTAATCAATCATGCCAAGGAATAGCTAACAAGAGCACAAAATTAAGTCTTTGCATCCCAATTTTTTGTGCCTTGTACCCCATGTGATTGTACCATGAATGTTCGCACAGGCTTCATGTTCTATTTTCCATTGGAAAATCCCAATCGTGTCATCTAAAACGTACATGCAAAGGTTGATAAAGTTGTTTGTGTTCATCCAAAAGATTTCCCACCTGGCTTTGGGACCCAATCAAGTCAATCAACAATTACTGAATACCCAGCCTAATAACTGTTGGGACCAGTGAGTACTGGCTGAATGCAGATCTAGTCAAGCCAATCACGCCAAGAGAATTGCAAACAACGTAAAAACTGCATTGCTACAGTAAATGCTCATTCTTATGGTTTCCATTGAGAGATCCAATCTAAAACTTAGAAGAAATAGCTTGGCAATTTCACAAGCAAGGGTTAATTACCGTGATTTCTATTTAGTTGTTCTTGTTCATCTAAAAGGCTACCTCATAGGATCAAACAAGTCAAGCCAACCATGTCAAGAAATAGCAAACATGAGCACAACATTAAGTCTTTGCATAAAAGGGCGTACCCAGTGCAGAGAGCTCCCGCTCTGTGCGGAGTCTGGGGAAGGGTGTCAGTGGCAAGCCTTACCCTCGCCTGTGCAATGCGAGGAGACCGCGACTCGAACCCGAGACCTTCCGGTCACAGGCGATAAGACTCTACCGCTTGCACCAGGCCCGCCCTTCAACATTAAGTCTTTGCATCCCAATTTTTTTGTGCCTTGTACACCGTGTGATTGTACCGTGAATGTCTCAGGTTGACTACCGCACATGTTTGTTCTAATTTCCATTGGAAAATCCCAATCGCGTCATCTAAAACCTACATGTTGTTGTTGTTCATCCAAAAGATTCACCTCTTGGCCTTGGGACCCAATCAAGTCAGTCAACAATTACTGAATACCCAGCCTAATAATTGTCTGGACCAGAGAGTACTGGCTGTATGCAGATCTAGTCAAGCCAATCACGCCGTGAGAATTGCAAACAAGAAGACAGGTCTTTGGTCTAAGTCAAGCCAGCAGATGGAGAGTATTTGTTGTGATGTCTGAACAGATCTAAGTCAAGTCAGCAAAGATGGAGTCATTGCTGAACAACAGATCTAACAAAGTGAAGTCTAGTAGAATCTTCACTGAGTAACATAACATAGTGGAGGACAACCAGTAAGAGCAAGCAAATCAAGATGGTAGCAGTGCTTCGTACTATATATAACTTACAACAATCAACCTAAAAACATACTCCCTCTGTCCTAAAATAGAAGGGATTTTGAGTTGTCCTAAGTTTGATCAGGGTTTATAACCAAAGGGGAGGCAGTTTTTTTACTTTATTTTATTGTAGCCAAAGCTGATCAGCATTGAGATTTGAGAGCTTGTTCTTTTAACATGATTTCAAGTTAGAAAATATGTGACGTGAAATCCTAAAGCCTGATCTCTTTTTCTCTCTATGCATATATATCTATGTTCAAGTATTTAGAGACTCCCCCGATCTTCATCTAACTCTGCAGCATGTCAATGTAAAAGATTCCCCAATTGGGACTGGAACCAGACCCAATCAAGTCAAGTCAGTCAACAATTCCAACAACCCGATCCTAATAATTGCTGGGGACCTGTCCATGGTGGTTCGTATGGGGTGGAGATCTAGTCAAGTCAATGATGCTAGCTTCATGCCAAGAGATAGGCAGATAGCAAACAAAAACACAAGTCTTTGGTCTAAGTCAAGCCGGCAGATGCATGCACGAGTCTCTGTTGCGATGTCTGAACAGATCTAAGTCAAGTCAGCGAGGATGGAATGGAAGCTGCATATATCACTAGTAGAGTATATAACAAGTAGGGGGTGGTACCATGTGATGCCATGGAGACGAACGAAGGGAGGAACCGGTCAGGGCTCCTCCGGGCGGGCGACGAAGAAGGCGTAGAATCCAGCGACGATGGTGAGGATCCCCAGGACCCAGACGAGCAGCTGTGCCCAGGGCGGCATCATGGCGGCGACCTTGTACGAGAACATGAGCGTGAGGAGCGTGGAGAGGCCCCAGACGGCGAGCTTGAGGCGCTGGTCCCTGCGGCGCTCCAGCAGGTGGAGGCAGCGGAAGAGGAGGACGAGGGCGGCGTAGGCGGCGAGGACGAAGCCGACGGTGTAGGGGTCGTCCCAGGAGCGGTAGACGGCCATCCCGCAGTTGAAGCTGAGGAAGGCGAATCCCATCGACGGCAGCCATCCCGGGCGGCCGTCGCGGTCCATGGGCCGCTGGCCGGAGCAGACCGGCGGCGCTCCGTGTGGTGCAGATCTACCGCCGCCGCCCCGATTCGGATGGGATGGTTTTCTCCGATGCGCAGCGGAAGTGGGCGGGCCCCACACGCAATTCGCGGTTTGCAACTTGCAAGCATCGTGGGCCACCGTGCGACCACGTGACTGGCCAGTGGGCTGTGGCCTCTCCAGGACACTTTGCTACTGCTAGTGCTGCACCTGCACCGCTCGTCGTGGAGGAAGTGGTCAAGTGGATGATGATTGGAGATCCTACTCGGCTCCTCTTCACGCTCATGCTCTCGTGCAAGATCGCCGCCATCCTCATGCCAACTCTGCTCCGCGGCGCGTCTCAGGTCATGGGGATCCTCACCATCCGCGGGATTGCACGCCTTCTTCTTCGCCCGTCCGGGAACAGACGATCCAGATATGTCTACGCTTGATTTTGCTTCACGGTCCATGCGCCGAGACGGTAACTATGGTATACGTCCCTACCCTTATTATCCCTCCTTCCTGCTCATTGTTGTTCTTTGTGTTTATTATTAGGGGTAGCTTAATAGCTTTTTTTGTGGGGTAACTTTGCCTCACCTGACTTTAATTTCTTGACTAAATAAATGGTGTACTTGACGGTCAAAGCCCGTTTATCCTCTAGATGGATGGATTTATTATTCACTGAATTTGGCGAGATGGCTCGGTTGATTATAATAATGAATGGCTTCGTCTCAATTTATTTATTGATAAAGCGAGCAAGAAAAAAAGTTTACTTACAGCTCGTCATCACCCTAACCTCTAGTAGCCCAATTTCTGTAGCTAGTTGTCACTCTAATCTTTAGCCTTTCCACATGCAGCCTGACTTTACTTGTTGCATTAATGGCTAATTTGGGTACAACATACATGTTCGGTTTTTGCTTTGTTTATTCCCTTTTTTTGTTATAGTCTATAGGTGGAAGGCACATGCAACATTCTTCAAGTGGAGATCTGATTACAAGCCAGTGCTCACCAACATTTCTCGCAGGAAAATGACAGATTAGCAGTCAAGCACCCTGCACAATTGATGATCTAGTAAAGATGTATGTGAAATCTAAACTAAAGGTTTGTTTGATACACGCGGCTATGGCTAAAAATTAATCTAAATTAGGTGCTAGCTAGTTGTATAACAATTAGTTTAACACTTGGCTAAAAATTAGCCCACATATTGGTCCTTTTTTTTAGAATTATTGGTCCTCTTATTTGAATGCAATATAGCTAGCTAGCAATTAGCCATTATATGCATTATAAGCAAACATGCCTTTAGTGACGCTGGCAAGATGGGCATCATAAAATTTGTCAATACCGAGTACAAATACTACATAAATGAGTACATAACAGTGAGTTCACAATCTAGTTGCTCTTAAAATTTCTTGGAGTTGTCAACTTCATGGGGTTTGAGACTTCCATTCCATTCCATGGTGTTCATTTCATTTATTTCCTCTCCCAAATCCCAATAAGAAAGCAAATCGAATGGAAATGAGGCATAATCAGACTATCTTTCACTTTGACAGTTTCTTACATGTCCGATTGATAATTAAACAAGTTCACATTATGTCCCACCTTCTGGTTAGCTTGCACAGGGCTATCGCTTGCATGATTAGGAACAAAAATGTAACATATATGGCAACACACCGCCGTTGAGGGTTGCAGAGAAGAGTGCCGGCGGGAGGGCAAAATCGAGGAGCACAATGACCAGCAAGCATAGGCAAGGAGGAGCGATGAAGCCAACCTCCCTCTGCTTCAATTCCTCCAAGCCGGCATGGCCTACTCCCAGGCTGCATGGCGGACCTCCTCCCTTCAATCTCCTTCGCAGAGCGGGCGCCGAAGTGTACAATTCCGCGGGCGCGAAGTGCCCTACAGTTTTGTTCCGTTGTTTGTTTCTCTCATCTCTTATGATTTCTTTCAATTGCTATGAGCAGATCTAGTGTAGAGATAAATTGAACCTTAGAGCCATAAAAGCGAACCCAAGACACCGTGAGAGTCGAATCATGTGTGTCAAAAGCAAAAGCACATTCTGCGTAAGAGCCGAACCGAGCTGCAAAAGCACATTCGCACCTAAAAACATCATCATCTCATTGGTGAGCACATGTACTCACGTATGGATACACAGCTGTAACATTTTAGTTACGTGATAAGACCCATAGAATGAAACCGATGGCACACTGCAATCTACAGCCGTCCAACGCTTTTGACGTCTTGCTTCTTTTACAAAGTATATAAAGTCAATGCTACACCATGGATCCAATTTCAACATCAAAAGATGTCAGGCAGTGGCGGATCTAAAAATATATATTAGAGGGGCTTCTTTCTCTTATTTTCTATATTTAGCCTCTTCTTTTAAGCTTTGACTACAAACTTGTAGCGAGGACTTAGGAGGGGCTCCATACATCTGGCGGCGGTAGCGGGAGCTCAAGCCCCGAGCAACCCGGTGCTAGATCCGCCGCTGATGTTAGGAAAATAATAATGGCTGTTAGGGACAAATCAACAAATCTGCCTGCGTAATATGTCGTGGAACATTCGGATCCTATGGATGGATGTGCGTGCCATGCAGGGGAAGGGGCCAAAACAAAGTACGTAGTACCATACTGAGAAAAATGTACATAGAAGAATTATAAGTCGTTCTGTTTTTATCCAGATATAAATAAATATATAGGAGTACCTAGTAGTAAAAAAAAAGGATTAAGTCCACTTTTCGCCCTTAACTATTGTTTTGGTCTAATTTTAACCATCAACTATAAAACCATCTAGTATCGGTACCCTAACTGTCAAAACCGTTTCACTTTTAGCACATGGGCAGAGGTAAGGCTGTTTTGACTAACGTTGAGTGGTTTTGACCACGCCTCCCTCTCCACGCTGCACAGCCTGACAAATCGATGTTGGGGCCTCTGTTCTTCCCTGCCAGTTGCTCGAAACCGAAGTGCCTGAATAAAGGTTGTAGTTCTAAGTGCAAGCTTGGGGCTAGTAACTTGAACGGGCCAGAATGCCACAGTGAAATCTAACAAACACGCACGCCAAAAATCATGCAGGACTCTGTTTCGGCCGGTGTCCGCGGTCACCGCGTCCGGTCGTCGAGGGCCAAGCGCCTACTTGCCCTACACCGTGCCGCCTCGCGCGCGCTATCATAGCAGTTCGTCTGGCTGACCCTCTGTCGCGCCCGTGCCGTGGCTGAGCCGCTCTAGTCTCGCCGCGCGTCCGCCGCTTTCTCGATCGCGCCTGGCCGGTCTCTGCTGACGTCTTTGTGCCGCCGCTCCTTCGCCGCTATCGCCGCGTCGTACTCTTGCCTCTTGCCGCCGCACCCGACTGCGTTTCTTTGTCGTCGCAACGCTCGACGGTGGCGGCCGACCGCCCGCCGCCGACGCGCTCTCCTGCAGACGCCTGCTCGCTGACGCCGAAGCCAGGTTCGCCGTGTCGCGCTTAAGGCCGAGCCCTCGCCGCCATCAGTGTGCTGGTTGGGCACAATGCATACCCCATCTCGCCCATGCCGAGCCATCATCTGCGCGTGCACGCGACGCCGCTGTCGCGGTTCCGTCGCGTCAGATTACCAGGGCGAGCTCTCTGGTGCACGAAAGTCGGTGCGACCGCGTCCACAAGGTAGCTAGGAACCTCGGGAGGCTACGTGTAAGAGGAATTGAAGAGAGGTCGAGTGTAGGTGACTAATTTTGGAGGCGAACCGGGGAGCTCGGCTACGGCGCATGGAGACAGCGTCCGCGGCGAGCTCAGCTGCGGCGCAGGGAGGCGGTAGCCGTCGTGCTACTCGGCCGCAGCCGCCACTTGCTCGAGCGCCACCGCCCTGCTCACGCGTCGCCGCCACCGTAGCCTGCTCGCGTACCGCCATGCTGCTTGCGCGCTGCCGCCATAGCCTGCTCGCCGCTGGTGACGGGAGGAAAGAGAGGGGCCAGCGTGGCACTATAACACCATCGGTGTTACACCATAAATCATTTTCTAAAACATGTCATGAGCATCATGTTTATGTGTTAATGCATGTAATAGAGTGTGTAGATCAATTTCTGTAACTCGAAACGATCAACAAAAATGTGAAACAAAAGTTGATTCGATAGTCATGTTATATCACTTAGGGTTTAAAACCAATTTTTATTAAGCAAAAATGCTATTGGACATGTATGTGATACTTAAATAAAGTTTAAAGTACAAACTTTGTAGATGACAATGAAATACTTGCGGTCGAAAAATGATATTACTAGCTAATATTTCCACTAGCTTAGAAATCGCAAATGGAAATCAAATTCAGCTCTAAAACTTAGAAATTTTTAAGTCTGCTGACTGCTAGATATTGCTATGTTTAGTAATTTATTGTGAGAGATTGGGTGAAGAAGTAGCGTAGCATTATGGCTTGTTTTGCTAGCCTAATATACCCTCTAAGGTATAGTAAAAGTGGTTTAGGGATTGGATCAACGGTTTAGACGTCTCGAACGCTTTAAAATCCGTGCATAACATGAACTCGGGCCGTCTTCTTATGTTGGGCGCGGTCACCAGGCCGTCCTGCCCTGACATCGCAGCGTCGGTGCACCGAGCGCGCGCGCACATGCGTACGTGGCCACGCTGACCGGTTGCTACTGTCGCAGCCTAGCCGCGGTGGGCACGTCGCTAGCCGTCAACCGTGAGCGGCCGCGCTCGCCGCTCACTTGCGCCTGGCCGTCCTGCCACCGTGCCGCGCTGCTGCCGCTGCCGTCGCACCACCTAGGCTTGGCCGAGGCCGGCCGTAGCGAGCCACTGGCCCTGAGCCTTGCTGCTCTGCCTCGCACTGTCTGCACTGCTGGCACTACTCACGTCGCGACGCTGACACTGCCGTCATGTCGTCGTCACGTCCGCACTGATCCGCTGCACCTCTGTGCTGTTGCCAGCCCTGTGCGTGTCGCCTCTACTGCGCGCACATGGGCGAGCCGCCATCGCCACGCCATTTATGGCACTGCGACGCGCCGGCCACCCTGGTCGGACGTGCACACGCGTTGTCAGTAACGCCGACACGTGGGCCTCCCATGCTCGCCGCTCGTGTCCCGCTAAGGCATGGATGAGCCGAGCCCACCTACCGCGCCGTATCTCTCTTTCCCTCTTTCTCCCTCTGTTTTCCACCACCGTCGCGTCATGTCACAGTGAAGCCAGAGAGCGAGCACCTCTCATCAATTTCTCGTGCTCACGTCTTTACCTTCACGCCCCCTCTCCAGCCGACCCCACCCCGCCTTGACTCGCGTCACGCCGAGCTCCAATTTTGGAGCTTTGCCCGCTGTCGTGCCGTTAAGGCCCGTTGCCGCTCGTGTCATGGCCAGTCTCCACCACTTCATCCCGCACCAATTTCTCTGCACCACTAGCTAGCCTTGGCTCCCTCTTCGTTGTGCACATGCTAGTCATAGCTCTAGTGCCGCCTCCTCACCGCTGACGTGGCCATGCCTTTGCG